TCGAGGAATTGTACAGTATCATAAACTTGCAATGCTTTTTTCTTTTCCCTTCTAGTTTCTTGGATTGAGAATTTTTAACAAATCATATATTTGTACTAGATCCTAATTTTTTGCCCCGATTTGTAATTTTAAGTAAATGATTGGTGGTCTTTTTCGTCTACGAGATCTGTTTCTTTGCAGCTTTTTGTGTAGCCGTCAGGCTATGAGTTTTGATTGGTTGGTTGAATTTTCTATAAATTGTGAAGAATCATGTGTATGCTTAATCTTTTGTGTAGTTTTTTTAGGTCTCGTTTACTTCGTGAATTTAAATTGGGATGTGACATTTTTTAAGAGCTTTTTACTATAACAAAAAAAGTTAAATTTAACATTTTTTGAAAACTTTTTACTATTAGAATTTAAAATTGAAAACTCAAATCGGTAAAATGAACGATATCTTAATATTTTCCATTTCTGGAGCCAAGTACATGTTGTTTTATCCGGATCTTCATTCGAGTTTACTCATGAAACTGATTGTCTAGAGTGTCGTGTTTCTTGTAGTAGGGGTTATGTGTGGATTGGTGTTTGTACTACTTTTTTTGTGGCACTTATAGTTACATAGTTAATTACTAATGATATGAAAAGCGAGTAGAAAATTATCAGCTTGGTTTCGATGCCATCCAATTTATTAGAGTTTTGGTAGTAATTAAAACGTTAAGAAGAGCTCGTTTGGTTCGTGGATTAGAACCATGAGATTAGAATCATTTTTAATTTACGTGTGTTTTTTGTGAGAGAAAATACTGTAACGAATCATGAACTATGATTCGAATCAGAGAACGAATCTTCCAACCAAACGGGACCGAAGAGATTCACGTTTTAAGATTCTAGTGATTTAGAGATCCATTTCTTTTGTCCTTTTTTGAATTTGACATAAGTAATGCTGTGGAACTAACTAGACTAAACCTGTAATTTTAATAACTCTTTTTTTTTTTTTTTTTTTAATTAAGCTAAGTCTGCGAGCAAAAATCATGAATATTTGATCAACAGAGACTTGAGCCTTCTATTATATATGATGTACGGATTCGGTTGTCTAAAGCTAATTAATATAAGAACATACTGGTAACTAATTAATTTACAGTTTACTTGACGGTATGAACTTCATAAAAGCTCCTTCAACGAGCTTCTACCTCAGTACATGTTATAGACTTGGCTTCTCCACTAGTTGATGGATCTCCGCTTGTTAATGGATCTCCGCTTGTTGATGGATCTCCTCCAGTAGTTTTCATTTTTTTTTTTCTCACAGAACGTGAAAAATAAAAATAAAATCAATTTTAAACACTGTCAAAAATATCATAGTATTTAAATTTCTCTGAACATTATCTTATCATCTCTAATTATATATGTACGTAATTAAGTATGTTATAACTTGTACGACTTTCAAATGTTTGGTCCCTCTAAGATTGAGATGGGCTGCATTTGTCTTTAGTTCTTGATGTGCGTCTAGTCTTCTACCATAAGTACATGTCACATCATTTAGAGAGTTAGTTGGCTTCTTGACTAGTACCTTAGAGCTGTAAATTTACCGGAGACGGAGTGTAATACAAATTTAGTAAGATGATTAGTAAATTACAGGATATTTTTTTAAATAAAAATAAATTATAGTATAATTTGATATTTTAAAATTTAAATATTATTAAAAATTCTAAAAATACTCATGAGCCTCCTTTCTACTTCTATCTTCTTTTCTTTATAGTCAAGTCCACCTTGGCAATTGGTGGCCAGTTAATACTATATTTACTGACAAATACTGTATTTATCATATTTATTTAAAAATTTAATGACTTGCTTTGATAACTGGTAAATACCGTATTTATAATATTCAAATTTATTTAATAAAATATTTACTGGTAAATACATTTTCCAGTTTAAGAATTTAATTCAATAAAGTATTTACTGATAAATATATTATTTTACCGAATTTAAACTTAAAATCAGTAAACTTAATATTATTTCTCACCATAAAAAAAAAAAGACCGAACTATCAAACCTCCAAATTAAAAACTAAACGACATCATTCAAAAAGAAAAAAGAAAAATCAGACACAAAACTCAAACTAGATCTGGTCCCAACAAAATTCACGTCCATCAGTCTTATTCTCTGTCCACGTCTTCCTCTCCGGTCGAACCACGTCTTCTCCGGCAAAGTCTCCCTCTCTGGCTGAACTCCATCTTCTCCAACCAAGTCTTCTTCTCCTCTCCGTTACTGTGCGATGATGAGCATCGACCTTCGATTCATAACGACAACGAGCCACACTAGCTTCGATCTTCAATTCGTGACGTCGCTGCCGGAGTCCACCATTCCCGAGAAGAGAGAGATTGTGAGTAGAGAGATGGCAGCGGGGAACACCTTGTCGCGATGTTCGCTCGGGATCTCGAATCGCGAAAGTCGGAGATGGCAGCGCCAGGACTCTGATCTCCGACGACAACCGAACCACGCGATACCGATGATCTTCGTCGCCGCCGGATCTTTGTCGCCGTTGTCTCTCACCGCCAAGTAGAGAGGAGAATCGGAGGAGGATGGGAGAGAGACGATCTGTGTGTGTATGTGTGTGTGTGAGAGAGAGAGAGAGACGATCTCAGAGAGAGAGAGAGAGAGAGAGAGAGAGCCGGTTTTGTTCGAAGCAAAAGGAAAAAGATGAAACCCTTCCAGGCAAGGGTAAATTTGAAATTCAACATTTTTTTATAATGAAATTTCAAAATGTGTCATAATTTACTAATATTAAAACAATATGTTATAAACAACAATAGTATGTTTAAAATATGTTATTTGCCATATTTTTCCTAAATTGAGTCCGCACTGACCCAACTTGAGTGAGGAGAAGGTTGGCCAGCTCTAAAATCCGACCATAATGACTGGCCCAAAACATTATTTACATAAATGCCTATTATGAGCACTTGGTTTTAAAAAATGCCTACTTTTTTATTTATTTATAAAAACAATAATATTATGAGTACAAAGACTTTTATATCCTCATATAATGAAAAAAGAAAATAAATATGTAAACAACATAATAGGCAACCTCCGTATAAGTCAAAAAAAAGTAAAACACACAAAGTCAACCTCTCTATACATTTAACGAGGAAGGAAAAGTTTAAACAACAGATAGCTTTTTAAAAATCGTGGCAATTTCAAATTAATCAATAAAAGAGCTTAACCCTAAATACTAATTACCATAGAAAAATTACTTTCATTACAACAAACACGGAATACAAAATTTAAAGAAAGGTTAAATATAATTTCATTAATTAATTGAGTGCTAGTATTATGTAATGTGAGATTTCATTATTATAATTCCTTCAAATTAAATTTCAAATGAAACATGAGAATATGTAAGATATAAATAATAGATAACTTAGATTATTATGAAAAAGAATATATAACAAAACATTATGAAACAAAAACAAATGATAAAAAAGGAACAGAAAAAAAAAATCAACATACACGAAAAAATGAACAAAATGCGAAATATTTCATTAAAGCACTTGACTGTTTGTGATCAATTATTTGATTTATTTCTATTATGGTATTTAAACTTAAGAGTTCTATTTCTTTTTTTTTTTTTAAAGATTACAGAATCAATACGTTTTTTTCCTTAAAAATATGTTTTTTTTATATTTTTTTATTTATTTTGTCTTCATTTTTCTTTATAATGACGTTTTCATTATTCTAATGAAATTACTTATTTTATAAATTCGTGTGTTCTTGCATGTTTATTATTTGAAACTTTGTACGACCTTTTATATCTAATATGTTTCATAATATTATAATCATTAAAGTAATGTAATTCCTGTTTGATTTGACTTGAGTCCTCGCAAACTTTATATTCATTATTTTTCATAATTTTAGAATCATTATAATAGTGATACAACTTTTTTTTTTTTTTTTGTGTTCATAAATACGCTTATTTGATTGTTTGAGACTTCTTTCTTTAAATATCTAGTCGCATTATTATAAAGAAAGCTGAGTTGTAATAAAGAACCAAGAAACAAGAAAGCTTGTTATTTCCTAACAAGTGATATTCAGGGAGAAAAAACTGTGTAACTATAATGAAGACAATCAATACTATAATGAAATTGTCAATGCCAATGTCATTGTCAAAGCGTGACCAGAATTCATTTTCAAAACCAAAATGAAAAAAAAAAAAATGAAAAAAAAAAAAAAGAAAAGTGTGATCAGTATTCATTTTCAAAACCAAAATTCGCCACTGAAATTCATATCCAAATTTATTGACCAACAAATCGATACCCAAGTATACATATCAACCATCCCCAATCACTGTTCATAGGGAAATGTTTCATTATCTGTTTAAAAAAAAAAAAAATTCATTGCCACAATGATCATTATCTAAAAAAAAATCAAAATTAAAATCACACAAAAGATCCGAAGCCTAAATTTTTAAAGCAATAAAGAATCACAGAGTTATCGTAATAAAAAAATTTACAACTAATATTAAGAATTCGGTATACATCAACTATTTGAGCATGTTGAACTCGATTTAACGGCAACTACTACAACTGGAGTTGATCTCTCTCTTTTTTCTTCTCTTAGAATTGGACCGGTGTTGAAGGACGCGACTTTTTTCTTCATGGCTGCCAGGAAATTATCGTGAAAAAAACCATAGAACACAAGACACACAAACGAATGAATTGAAAGATGAAATAAGGGGAAAACAACAACCCGTGAAAAAGAATCAGCATAAAATCACAATGATCGATCCTAAAAAATCAATCAAAGTTAAAAAGGGGGAAGTAAATACTAAAATTATAATTAGCAAAAATCAGACTATAAAAAGAAAACAATCCAGAAAAAAATGCCTAAAATACCTAAAAAAAAAAAAATGCCTATATTAGAAGGCTTGGAAATGCAATATCCTTCCATGCATTTTTATGGATAACAATAAATCCTTAATTAAAGGATTAATGAGGTCTTTATGAATAACAAATAAAGACGTAGTCTAAGGAGGAATAAAAGAACCGATATACACGTATAAACCTTTCAAGCGCATATCAGTAACTAATACTTACATCATGAGCCTATGCATCAAGTTGACATCATTAACCTCATATACATACATACATACATACATATACATACACACACACACACACACACACACATATATATATATATGTATTTATTTATTAAGAGCTTAGTCCTTCAACGAGGTTCTACCACAGTACATGTCACATCATATATAGAATTGGCTCCTTCACTAGTTGATGGATCTCCGCTTGTATAGCTTTTTTTATATACAAATGCAGGCTGTTTTGGGGAAGGAAGAGCTGAATCATTACCCAACATGGAAACAACTGCCGACATGGTTGGTCGATCGGCTGCGAACTCTTGCACGCACAGAAGCCCAATAATGATGCATCTCAAAGCTTCGCCACCATATGATTCATCCAAAGATGAATCCATTAATTCCAAGGCTTTACCATCTCTCCATAAGTCCCACACCTAAAACAATGTTATGTCTCATGTCATGTCATGATGAATAACAAGAAGAAATATATGTAACTTGATGCAGGGAGATTTAGTTATTAGTAGCCGTTTTTATATTTTTATTATTGTTTGTTCTAGTTTCGTAATTTAGTTATGTTTTGTTATTAGTATATCATTTGTTATAGTTAATATTTTGTAATCGTTTTGTACGTGGACTATGTAAATAGCCACATTACTAATTGTAATAGTTAGACTTGAATATTGAGATATTAAAAACAAAAATTGAGTGTTTTCTCTCTAATTTGAGGGGTTTTTTCACTTGTGGGATTTTTTAGATAAAATGGGAATCCTCCGTCTGAATTAGGCAGGTAAAATTCTATCCCTATCTCCTCTGCATCATAATTAATTTGGACAAGATCAGTTCATGTTTACATAAATTTCTATGAACTTACATGTCCAACCAAATTTGTCTCGGGATTCTCATGGTAATAACTAGTGTTTTTCTTGCCCGTAATGATCTCTAGTAGCAAAACTCCAAAGCTATATACATCTGACTTGATCGAAAACCGCCCTTGCATAGCGTACTCTGGCGACATATAACCACTACAGAAGCATATAAATATGAGTTAACCTTTTTGAATAGTTTTCTACCTTTGAAACTTTTTTCAGTGCTTCTAAGGAACTTACTATGTTCCAACCACCCGATTTGTATTTGCTTCAAGTTGGTTCCCTCCGAATATTCTAGCCATGCCAAAATCTGCAATTTTAGGGTTCATAACTTCATCAAGGAGAACATTGCTAGCTTTTAAGTCCCTATGAATGATTCTTAATCTCGAATCTTGATGAAGATACAACATCCCTCGAGCAATCCCGCAGATTATGTCAAAGCGTTTTCTCCAATCTAACAATTTCCTTTTCTCTTCATCTGATCACAAATAAGATCACCATTTTGGAGTGTCGATTTGAAGAGCAAGTTGGGAAAACGAAAAAATAATAATAATAACATACCAAAAATAAATGCGTCCAAGCTTTTGTTTGGCAAGTATTCATATATTAACATCTTCTCTTCTCCTTGAACGCAGCAACCCAAAAGCCTCACAAGGTTCCTGTGTTGGAGTTTTGCGATCAGCATAATTTCGTTCTTGAACTCTTCAGTTCCTTGCCCCGAATGCTTCGACAGTCTTTTTATTGCTATCTCCTTTCTACCATAGATCATACCCTGTACTCACAACACAAATTATTCAACTCGTATATGATGCAACGTTATTCTTTCAAGAGATTCAAAATTGAAAAATCATCTGCTTTCTTGATCCGATCACTAGCTTAATTAATTGTGTTCTTAGCCCGCTAAAACCGTACAGATGAAGTACCAAAAGTGTTGATGCATACACATAATATTCTAGGGTTTCATACAATTAGAAATTGTATGCAATTGGACGGTAGAAATTACCTTATAAACAGAGCCAAAACCGCCTTCTCCAAGCTTGTTATGAATAGCGAAATTGTCAGTGGCTGCAGCTATGGTATTTAGATCGAAGAACAGCAACTCCGAACCTCTTCTACTTTCATCAAACTCGTTTTTCAGGGAAACTTGAGAGAAGGTTGGACTTGTGGTAAGACTAGAAAGATGTTTGCTTTGTTCTGCTTTCGCTGTGATTAATACATACACAATAGGTAATGTTTTGTATGATCTGGTAGCAATTGATCGTTTTCTCGGTCTTTCTTCCTTGCTTTTACCTCTTTTCAAATTCTCAATTCAATATTATTTATCCGTCTTTTTCAGAACACATTCATGGTGGTACGCGTGGAATTTTATAATCAAGTTGTTATTGTTGTATACACAAAAGAAAGGTGAATCATAGAAAGCAAAATAGAGAGGAGGAGAATTCCTTACCTTTTCTCTTCTTCTTTGCCCAACAATGCACAACAATCACGAGAAATAACACTACAATGCAAGCCAATGAAATTGCCACCTTCCCCACCTTGCTCAAAGAACGGGACTTTTTTGAATATTCAGCTATGTAGATGAAGAGGGAAAAAAAAAAAAAAAAAAAAGAGTTAAGACGAACATGAATTAGTAACATACAACTAATCTGTATTTAAAAGAACACCATAGCATGAAAAAAAAAAAAAAAAAAAAAAAAAAAAAAAAAGTGTTAAATAGTTAATAAGATTAGAAGTACCTAGCGTAATATTGTCAACTCGCACGTGAAGTTCTTGTCCTGCGGCGGAATAAGTCCTCCCGTCCACCAGATCACCGTACCACATCAAACACCCGATCCCTGCCCCTCTCTCATCGGCACTCGTGTAAGCCGTGCAGGAACAATTCCTTAGGCACTCTTGTCTGCAACCTTCCAAACTCAAATTCATCTGCACACGTGCCTTCGAAGTGTCGGGGACCTTCATGTGTGTCAATTTTACGAACCCTTCTCCGCTCCCACACGTGCTAACCCCTTTCTTCCTCAAGCACCCACCCGACCCGTCTCTCAAGAACCAATCTCGGGGCGACTTGGGTTCGAATCCGGGTAGGCACGTGCATTCGAACTTATTTGTGGTGGACGGGTCGCAATTGCCATTTGCACCACACTGCTTGTAATCATCACACAAGTCTCTAGGCGCGGACCAGAACTCCACCCAGTGTTGGCCTTGATCGTGCCACGTGGATCTATGAACGACTCCTGATTCATCTATCACCATCCTAGAGAAAATCGAATCGTTGTGAATACCATACGTGATGAAGAGTTCATCTTGATTGTCTACAAAACTGACGTTGAAGATGAAATTAGATCTCATCTCGGGCACCCCACTCAATCCAGATCCGGTCCAAGGCCCACCCCGCCAACTTGGAGCCCCATTTTTGTACAATACCACTTGCGGATGCCCACTCGGGTCAACCCGTAACGAAGAGTTCCCAGTTCCCGGGTCATCCAGTGACCTCCAGGATGTTAGGAACCGGTCTAAACCGGACTTCCGGTTCAGCCCGAGTTTCATAAAAGGAAGCATGGTATGTGTCGGGTGATCAAAGCTTTGCCATAGTACACTCTGGCTTCTACTATTACCATACAAAACCAAATTTCCGACGTCCAAAAGCTTAGCGACGGAGCTGTTTGCCGAAGATACCGAAACATTTGCTGACCAAATAGGAGAGTTTCGGTTTTCGCCGTAGATGACAAGACCTCCCCGACTATTGATGGTCAAAATTCCAGAGGTATCATTGATGGGATTGTCTCTATTCGCGACCCAAACGACAGTTTTCTCAGGAACCCTGTAGTACCAAATCCCGACATAGCGGTAGTGAGAGTTTCCGGGGCTGAAAAAGCCGAGCGCATACGATTGTCGGCCGGAGATCAAAACATCGCCGTCTTTGATGGGGTGGTCTGGAGTAATGGTGTCGAGAGAAGACCAACATGGTAGAATCAAAAGAATTATCAACGTATTCAGAAACGCTGCATGAGAATTCATTGTAATCAATCAATGTTCAAAATAAAGAGTTTTATGACTTGTGGTGAGGTTGATAAAGAGTATAGAAATCAGAGGTTGATGAATTATGTGATCAGGGCAGAGACAGAGCAGGGGCAGGTGAGGCTTTTAATTGCTGTGAGGCCCAATTTGATTAGAAGTCATGAAAGAGACATTACTATGACAAAGACGTCCAACCTGTAACTGTGGCCTAATTTAGGGTGGGTTTGGTTTTGCCGTGGATTTAAAAAAAAAAATTACTTTTAACTTTAACTGTATTGAAAAAAGAAGTAGCTGTTATGAGAAGCAGTTAAGTGTTTAGTAAACTGTAATTATAATATCTGTGCTGGTTCTAAAATTAATATAATAGCGTTTGGTAAATTTTGATGTTGAATTATTGTGGGTATGTAAAGTGATCAAAATATACATGAAATGGAACTTAAATATATTAATTGTTTTTTGTATTTAAAAATATTTATTTCGGCAAAGTCTCTAGTCAAGCACTTGGAAAATGCCTGACCAGAACGGCACTTGTACATTTTTGCTGAAATGTGTATATTTATATGTGCTTCGTGTATATATTTATATGTAAAGATGTATATATTAAGTTATAAGAAACGACAACGTATATTAATCCTCAAAATATGTATATTTTATAGTAATTAAGCGAATATATAGCATAAAAATATGTATATTGGCTGATTTGTTGTATTTCATGTTAATGAACGTAAGCGACAATGTATATTAATTATAGAGACATGTATTTTTTTATAGCAATAAGTGAACAAGGCTGAAATATGAATACAGTCCCCATCACAACTAAAGCTTTATAACAAATCAAATTTTGTAGAATTACATTGCTTAATTTTCAAACGAAATCCCCAACATGCCCTTACGTATATATTGTGTTATAGTGAACACCGTGTTGAGGGCTGTTAATTTTTAAAGGTTGTTTTGGCAATCCAAATAACTATTGATTTGTTAATTAAAATCATTTGACTTTTGATGTCTTATAAGGACTGATCAACTATTGATTTGTTAATTTTGTTTCTGGAGCTATAATCCGACTGTGGTTTATTTTAAACGATGTCGTTTAGTAATTGCTGTTGGTAAATTGAGTAGCTTAACCGAAAAGGCTGGATTCATTTCTACATAATTTTTTTTCTGGAGCCATAAACTGACGGTGGTTTATTTTAAACGATGTCGTTTAATAATTGTTGTTGGTAAATTCGGCAGCTTAACCAAAAAGGCTGGAATCATTTCTACATAATTTTGTTTCTGGAACCATAAACCGACGGTGGTTTATTTTTTAGGCCATTTTTTTTAGCACGCCTAGAAAAATGTAAGGATTGTGTTTGTAAAATTTTATTATTTTTTTACTTTGTTTTTATTTTATTATATTTTTTACAGATGAAAAATAAAGAAAATCATAAAAAATAAAATATTCATCAAAAAATCTCCTGCTAACGCAGTGGGGAGCCGAGTGGCAAGGATATGTCAAAACGAATTCACTATTTCTACATCTTTTGCGTCCTAAAATCAATGCATGATTTTTAAGAAATTATGCGACATGCTGTATCATGTTTTGATGAGTATTCCGTTTTTTATGATTTTTTCTATTTTTCGTCTATGAAAAATCAAATAAAGTAGGAAACGACGTCAAAATTATCTGAAATTCTGCAGACACGCTCAATACATTATTCTGCGCATGCTCGTAAAAAATGGCCTCAAACTGTGAAAAGAGAAAACGCTGTGAAGTCTGGTTTGATTTACATGAGTTGCTCAAGACAAACAGAAATACAACTCGCTACCTCTCTGTAATCCTGATAACGAATCTAGAACTTCAATAACTTTTGTTATGTTATAGTTTCCAGCGTCAGATTGCGCAATCAATGATCCAGTACTTTTACTCTCAACTATATCGACAAGGCGATCAATTTGTTGAGACAATTTAATAGCTCCTCCAACCTTTACGTTTCCTTTTCCTTTCTTGATTTTCTTTTGTCTCTCATCTGTCTCAATTGGCCTCTTATTCTTACGGTATTGTGCCAATTCAATTCGGATTGCTTCACCTGACTCACCACTACTCTCAAGTTGTTCAGGTAGAGTAGAATTATCATTTCCACCTTTATCAAACTCACATGGCACCTGTCCAGATGATGGTGTCCAAGAATACACTCCTGTGGCCACAGTATTCATGAACATCCTATTTAACTTTTCTTCTAACTATGGTTCAATTCCCCGAGTGCGAAACCTCGATGCGTTAGGATGAATCTGCAAGAGCCCTTGAATAAATTAAACCTGCCTAGTCCAACACTAGAAAAAACAATGCCAAACCACATAATTTTATATACCTACAATTTATTATGCCACCACTCCTCAAATGTATCAATAGTATTCTTCTTAATGTTCCAGCCTAGACCAGTTTCTTTACCAATAAGTTCCTTCCAAAGCTTCCAATCATTCTTCAAAGCATCCCATTTATTCTTCAATTGTTGTCTTTTATATACCCGTTTGGTTGCTTCATTAAATTTCTGAATTAAATTTTCCCATCCAACTTTATCCAAATGAGTTCCAGGACGGCGTCCAACTTCCACCTCTATAATACACAAATCACAAAATAGTTCCACAGTCTCGGGGTCCCATATTGCTTTACCTTGTGGTATACTACCCTCCATTTGAGAATTGATAACTGAAAGTCTAAAACAATGTGAGGCTTCATGCTTTAATTTACAAAAATATTAATAAGGGTAATACTAATCTTATTTCCAATTCGAACACTCAATCAATAGCCAAACAAAGCATAACTTCTAGTCCTAGATACTTCACCTAAAAATTGGCATAAGAACTAATGTATTTGATTGAAACATCAAGATCATCGTTTTATGAAAAAGAACCTAAAAATTGTCACTTTCTAGTTTGTCTTTTTGAGATTATTGTCGTTTGCTTGTTGTTGTCTGTTATAATTATTCCGTTTTAGGAATTTCTTTTGTATTTTTCATTATTATATATGCCATCGTTTTAGGAAAAGCAATATTGTTGTTTTGTTATGATCATATTATCAATGAAATTGAGGTGGGAATTGGAAAAATGGAAAAAATGCAGGGACAGGATTGCATATTTGTGAGGGCGCTTGTTCCATTTGTGGGGAGTTTGATAGTGAAGGCTTGGAAGGAGTCTGATGATAGCAGTGATGTGGACATCATATTGAGAGGCATGGCTGCTTTGAATGATGAACTTGATTGGTTCAAGAAAGAAGCCAACAAGTGGGGGGTTCATCTCTCTGAAATGCTTGTTCCTCAAAAACCAAACCAGGAATATTGCAGGTAATTTTCTATCTTGTTTTCTCTAATCATGCAAGTTTTGGTCAACTTTTTTTTGTTTCTTCTTTTAATTGTGGAATTATTTGCAGCTAATTGACACACATTTTTCTGAATTTTCTTTTGTAAGTTGGATTTTTCTGATTTTATTTTATTAATCTTGAGAGGTTTACTTAGGATTTTGGTGTACTTTGGTCTTCCTTGTTGCTTTAGCACTGTGCTCTAGTCATTCAATTCGAAGGAAGATGACCTCTAATTTTGACACCATATTGTTTAAAAATCCCTCCTCTCAATGCCTTAATCAATAGTTTGGCAAGTGTTTTGAAAAGTATATGAATAAACTTCAAAGAACCACTATGAAGTTTTATTGTTTAGACTTTAAGACTTGTAGTGAAAATTCCTATGATCAATTTTCCTTTCTGAATGAAGGGGAGGGAAAAAAAAAAAAAAAAAAAAAAAAAGGTATTTTCAGTTCAAGGACTAGTTATTCAGTCTAAAGTCTAACCTCCATTAGTGACTATTCTTTCATCACAACTATATAAATAAAACAAACAACCACATAGATGCCAACAAGCTTCGGTCCAATCTATGGAATTCATTTAGGAGAAAATGCAATCTCTTTTCTTAGCTCCCTTCTTGATGTTTTGCTGTTGAAGAAGGACATAGCTAACAGGTTTGCTTCTTTTGATGTCTAGTTATCTCTTTTTTTTCTTTTTTTTTTTTAAAGGATCTAGTTATTTATCTTCTACTTCATTAGTATAAGGAACTTTTGTTTTGACATTCCATCAGTTTAAGCTTCTACTTCATAGCTAACAGATTTGCTCGTGGGGCCTTTATTTAAGCTTGTTGGCAAAGCTTGTTGGCAGAACACACAGGAAAAGATTAAACCTTCCTAAACACGGATTAAACCTTCGGTCCAAAGACTCCAAACACATATCAAAGTTTCAAACCATAAACAAATAATCATAAATCCAAACCATAAAGGGAGATCAAATCATCAACACGAAAGCATTGGAAAGATGCTTTAAAGATAAAAATAAAAATAAAAATAAAAAAAATAAAAAAACACTTAAAACCCACAAACAATGCTCAACCGTTTTTCTGCAAAAATCAGAAACCTATAACCCAAAATATTCAAACTAAAAATCAGACCCAAAAATCCAAATGTTCAAACTAAAAATCGCGCGGTTAGAGAGGCTTACCTCTTGATCTGATGACGAGAGACGGGCAGTCGGAGGAGGAGAAGGGAGACCGGCAACGGAAAGATCAATCGGGCGGAGGAGAAACCAAACGAGCTCCGAACCACCAACAGAGAGATCAACCGGCGAACAGAGAGAGAGGCCGGTGAACGGAGCGGGGGAACCTGCTTCGAACGGCGAGGAGAGGAGAGGAACAAAGAAAAAATTTTCGCAGAGAGCTTCTGAAATGAAATGGGTTGTAAATTTCAGTTTTCAGTGGGGTAAAATTGGAAATAAAAAATTTCATTAAACACTCAAACTAAATTCCCGCATAAGCTGAAATCAGAATCAGAACCTGATTCTGCTTTTAACTTCAGATTGAAGAAAATTTTTTTAAGAATCTGTTTTACCAAACATGATTTTAGATTTTAGATTCCCGGATAAGTTGATTTTCTCTTCTAAAAGCAATACCAAACCCACCCTTAGTAGTGCTTAGATTTTTTTAAAAAAATTATTTTTAACTCTGTTAAAAGAAATAGTTGTTATAAAAAGTAGTTAAGTGTTTAATAAATTATAATTATAATAACTGTGGTAATTTTAAAATCA